CACTTCTTCTAAAAGACTCACAGAGACCCCTAGAGGACGAGGAAGGACAAGACAGCGTAAGTTTTATGACCTAGAGACTGCCGTTTCCTTTAGTGCCTCACTTTGTGCGTCCGTGTATGTGAGGTACTGCAGATTAAACTCACGACCTTTGCACTGAGGTACATTCTCATTCCTTTTTTATTTATTTTTTTAGTTTAAGACAGGATCCCAAAAAGTTGCTAACTTGTCTATCAGAGGTGGTCTCAAAGCTTCAGTCCTCCTGCCTCGGCCTCCCAGAGTACTGGGATTACTTTTTTGGTACTGGGAATCAAACTCAGGATCTTGCACTTGCCAGGCAGGTGCTGCACTGCTGAGCTATATCCCTAGCCCTGTGACTACATTTTTAAAAGGTAAGCTATGCCTCACTTTTTCATTTTTTTCTTTCTTTTGTGTGTGTGCCTCTTTTTTTTTTTTTTTTTTTTTTTGAGACAGGGTCTCATTCTGTAATTCAGACTGGTCTTGAACTTACTGTGTAGCCCAGGGTGGCCTTGAACTCATGGCAATCCTCCTGTTTCAGCCTCCAAGTGCTGGAATTACAGATGTGTGCTACCATGCCCAGGCTGTATGCCTCACTTTTTAAGGTAAGGATTTCAATGTCTGCTTCACCCTTATTTTAGCAATACTGCTCAAATTTTTAAAAAAATTTAAAAATGAGTTGGGCGAGCCATTTATACATTTTCTGGTACACAAATTAAACATTCATTTGTTTAACTACTTTAAATGGCCTTGAGTGCCTCCAGGAGTGCACTGCCATGCTTTGTGGAAGCTGCAGGCCACCAGCCACAGGAGCTCAAAGAACAACCATCCTGATGAAGATCCTGGGGAGGGGACACCGTTACCATCAACAGTGCACTTAGCTAGGTGGGCTGATCACAGAGTGCTTCCTGCAGGAGGAGGGGCCTGATAAGCCTGGCAGGATGATTCCATTTGGCCAGTGGGAACCGAGAGGGCAGGAATTACACAAGCAGAAGAGTGAGGCTGGAACAGGCCTGGCACATCTGAAAGGAGGCTGTGGCCCACCCTTTACACACACATCTCACTAGGAAACCCATGCTTGAGATGGATGGTAACCCTCACTTCACAGAAAACGGAGGACTGAGGAGGGGAGGTCCCTGCTGCACAGGCTGGCTGAGAGGACTAAATGTAAGAATGCAGGAGTGCGTGTGACTTTCGTGAACAGTGTGTGTGGTTGGGGAGAGTTTTGCACACTTACAACTGGGCGCCCCCAGGCAGGGCCAGTCCTAACTCAGCTGTCCACCTGTCCGTGCACTTCCTCCTTCCCTTTCCTAGAGGGACCTCTGCTCCCCACTTGGTGATCAAGCCCCATCTCTCAGGTGATTTTTATTTTTTTAAATTTTTAAAAATTTTTTTGGTACTGGGAATCAAACTCAGGACATTGCTCTTGCCAGGCAGGCGGCTGTGCCACTGAGCTGTATCCCCAGCCCCCTCTCAGATGATTTTGCTCTTGGTGGTTTCCTGGTGCCAGGCAGACTCCTCTAGTACACCAGACTGTACAGAGAAAGGGAAAGAAGTCAGGATCTCTCCCTGCCCCATTGAAGGGTCATTGTATGGCTATAGCAAAGTCACCAAGGAAAAAAAAAATTTAAAACTTCAAGTTCGTGAAAGGCAGGGAAGCATTTTAAATTCACACCTTTGTCATCACCTTGGCATGGAACCAAGGTGCTAAAATCTTGAGCCCTCAGGGCCTGGCCTGATGGCCCACGCTTAATTGCAGCACTTTGGGAGGCTGAGGCAGGAGGATCACAAGTTAGAGCCCACCTCAGCAACGTAGTGAGACCTTGGATCAAAATAATAAAGATCTGGGGATGTAGGTCAGTGTGATTGCCATAGGTATAAAAAAATGTCTGGAGACCTCAGAATTTAAACTTATGCTAAGTTTAACCTTTGCAGGGCGAGCGCTTCTAGGCACTCAAGTTAAAGACAGTGTTTGGGATGGACACGTGGCCTGAATGTCGCATAAACGCTGTCAGGGTCCGGCGCGGCTTCCCTGTGGTCAGGATCCCAGCGGGACGGGTAGGGTGGGTCCTTCAGAGTTGCACAGCGGAGCCTTCTCGCATCATCCGGGTTGCCCGACTCTGGAAGAGTCAAAGAAGCGTCCGGACGCCCTCTAGCGGGAGTTCTGGGATGGGTAGCTGCAGGACTTCTTCACTTTAGTCCACCCCAAACCGAGACCAAGTGGTAGTCGGCAAACTCTAGTGAGCAGGAGCAGGGAGCGAAGACCGACCTTGCACCTTCTTCCTCCGGTGGTCTCTTTCCCTGCCTCTCGCCGTGGTCCTTCTAACAGAAAGACCAGGTCCTGTCGCCCCTGCTTCAGTCCTCGGCGATTCGCGATAATGGCCAGTGTCCGCAAGGTCCTCAGAGCTCGGGCCAGGCGCAGGGAGGGCGCAAGGTCCTCTTTCTCGCCGAGAAGGACGCAGGGACCAAAGGGCAGCTGGAAGAGGGAGGAGCACCAGCGGTACGGGAAGCAGGGATTGGCTGTGGAGAGCACCGCCTCCCGGGAGGCGTGTCCTTGAAAGCGCGCCCCGCCCCCTTGCCAGAGAGTGCGCAGCGCGGCTGCGTCTGACCGTGAGACGCAGACGCGGTGCTTGTGCGCTCGACTCCTGTCGTCTGGGTCCTGCCATGCCTCGCGGAAGCCGCAGCGCGGCCGCCCGGCCGGCCAGGTGTGAAGAAGACCGGGGCGCAGTGGGGCCGGGGCTAGGGCGGCGTGCGCTGTCCTCCGAGGACTTCCGCGGGGTGACCTTGGTTGCTATAGCGCCATCTTGGTGGGGGAGGGGTGGGATGCAGCAACCCCTCTTCTAAGAAGGAGGTCGCTCACATGCCCTGGAGGACACCGGTCGGTCGTTTCCAGGAGCTGCAGGCGTGTCAAACGCCTGGAGTCCGGCCAGGATTAACCCTGTTTCTTTCTACCCCTGCAGCCGCCCGGCCGCAACTTCTGCCTACCCTCCCGCGCACCCACCGCCCTCAGCGGCCACCCCGGCTCCCGCTCCTTCGGGCCAGCCGGGCCTCATGGCGCAGATGGCTTCCACCGCCGCTGGGGTGGCCGTGGGCTCGGCTGTGGGGCATGTCATGGGCAGCGCCCTGACCGGAGCCTTCAGTGGGGGAAGCTCAGAGCCTGCCCAGCCTGCTGCCCAACAGGTGAGCTGCAGGTCCAGGAGCTATGAAGCGGGACTCCCCAGGGCTGCTGAAGTTTCCTGGTGTATTCCGAGTGATTCCGAGCGCCCTCAGGCCAGCCACTCTGCCTTGGAAGGGTGCTCTGCCTCACTGTGCTGTTGGGTTCGGTGTCATTCCCTGGCAGGCTCTCCCTGCCTCTTCCTTGAGGCCAAGGCCCCGGGGATTCCAGGGACTGACACACCAGTCCTTTAAAGATGGTGAAATCCAGGCTGGTAGGGCTCAGAGACTTGCCCAAGGTCAATTAACTTTAACGGGAGAGAGGAACGTTGACTTTCCCAAGCCTTTGCTCTCACACTTAGGTCCGGTCCGCAGCTGCTGGGCCCGAGGGTGAAGGGTCGTTGGTGACCATGATGCCTGTGCCTTGATGACCTGTCCCTCACTGGGGCGTCACCAGTCCTGAGCCAGATCCAAATGCTGCTTCGCAGCTGGGTCAGGGTCATGAGAATCAGTGTGGCTGAGCCAGGAAGGTGCTAGAACTTGTGGGGAATGGCTCATACTCTTGAGACAATATGCAGAGGACAAGGTTTTCTAGAACCTTCTCTTCCCCCTGCAGCTACCTAACATGCCCATTTTAAGGCAGCAGGAAAACCTGCTTCTGCTGAGTGGCTTTGAGCAGGCTGCTGGCTTACCCTGTTTGCACAGAAGGAGCAACAGAGGCTAGACAGGGGCAGACAGGCCGCAGGTCATTCAAGCTACCTTAGACTCTTGGGCATCTAGGCTGAGAAATTAGGGAGAGGCAGGCAGCCCTCAGAACCTACCCACAGGTGGGTTGCAACCCTGAGAGACCCTGCTGCTTCTTGCAATGTCCCCCTAGGCGCCTGTCCGTGCTGCCCCCCAGCCCCTACAGATGGGGCCCTGCTCCTACGAGATCAAGCAGTTCCTGGACTGCTCCACCACTCAGAGTGACCTGTCCCTGTGTGAAGGCTTCAGTGAGGCCCTGAAGCAGTGCAAGTACAACCACGGTGAGCAAGTAGACTCTGCCCCCGTGCGGTTGAGCGGGTAGATCCTCTTGCATCTGCAGGGTGACCTCCAGCCTGTGTACCCCACCCCCACAGGTCTGAGCTCTCTGCCCTGAGGAGGCTGCTGTGGACTCATGCGTCAGCTCTGACATGGATCCCAGACCACAGCCCTGAACCCACCCCATTCCCTCACCGACAGCCGGACCATGACGACAGATTGTACCTGGGATTGGGAGTAAGGATGGGGTTTCTTACCCCACAGGATAACCCAAGACGCAAACGTATAATTAAAGTGTTTATTTTAGAACACAGCCTGCTGTGTGCCCTCTTGCTGGCCTGTCTGCCAGGAGCACCGTAGCTGGTGAGGTAGGCTCAGAAATGGATAGATGTCTCATTGTGGTGGGCTGGGAGGAGCCCTGTTGTAATGTGCACTGTGGCTAGCCAAGGACAGAGCACCTTGGAGAGTCCAAAGTGAGGGGATCAGGCTTTAGCAGGTGACAGCAAGGGCATCTGGCTCTGGAGACTGCAGTCCAGGGCGGAGCCCATTGTCTCCGCCTCTCAGGGTTACCTGCTCCTTCCACTGTTGTTGTTTCTGCCTCTAGATCCCGTTATCCTCACCCACATTTTAGCCGCCCCTCCGTGTATGTGACTTTGCCCCTCTTGCTGATGCAACTTCTCAGTAATTCCAGATTCTGCAAGGGGACTCCTGCTGGGTTGCTGTCTGTTTGCACCTGATCACATGAGACAGAGGTCAGAGCCACCCCCCTTGCATCTGAGTCCAGCTTGGCTACTCGCTGTAGTGTGCCAAGTCACGGGGCCTGCTGGAACAGAGGAGTAGGCCATTTGAACCCAGTGCGGACTGCTTCATCAAGCATTTTTTCCTGGTGTTGGAGATGGAACCCAGGGCCTCATACATGCTAGGCAAGTGCCCTACCACTGAGCTACATTCCCAGTGCCTGCACACATAACACACACACACACACACACACACACACACACACACGAGGTCATGCTGGGACTCTAACCCAGCCCCTTGTGCATGGTAGGCAAGCACTGTGCTGTGCATTGAGCTCCTACCGTGTGTCATGCCCTATTCTAGCAAGTACGGAGACTTTCTTGCCCTAAGGGGCTCACATTCCAGCAAGATGGGACTCTCTCAAGGTACAGTGTCTTCCATCTTAGGGGTATATGGGGTGGGTTGAGGATCTGCCTCTGCACATACGTGTCTGTCCCTTGAGAAGGGATCCCACTTTACCCTGTGTCTTTCTCGGCATCCATACCTTCTTCACACTGGGCTCCTGGCCCCTGCTAGCGGGTCTTGGACATCAGTGAGCCCACCCTTCGGGACCTTGAAGGAGTGCCTTGCTCCTGCTGGCCACGCCGGTTTCCCATGCGTCTCTTCCTGCTGTTGCCCATGGCTGGGAGGCCTGACAGCCAGCGCAGCTCCTCTGGAAGGCCCAGGAAGCCCTGCTGGTGGGGACTGGAGAGCGGATGTGCCCTCCCCCTGGGGCTCTGCCTTGACACTCACCTGCCAGCTCAGGATACCAGTCATCCAGGTTCTCCAGTAGGGACACATAGCGGGTGGGGACTCCACCTTCTCCTGTGGGTTGTGGAGAGGACAAAGAATCCCTGACTAGCCTGACGGTCCCCATCCTACCTTTTCTCCTGGATCTGTGCTGGCCTGGGCAAGGGAGACGGGAACAGGGTACTGGGTAAGAACGGGTTGGAACTAGGTCCCTGGCCACAGTAGGGACTGGGTAGGGCCTTGGGTCATCTGTAGCCTGCTGTCCTTCCCTTACATTTCAGTGTCACTGCAGGGGAGAGCCTTGGGCTCCACTTACTGATGATCTGCACGAGAACATAGGTCCCTCGCTCCTGCAGCAGGGGACTGCCCCTAGAGGGGGGTGAGGAAGTCCCTTCCTCCAGGTCCTCACCCAGGCTCACCAGGTGCCCATCCTCAGCCAAGAGGGCGATGGTTGCTGGAGGGCATGGAGAGAAACTGAGCAGAGCTGGCATCCCTGCTTGGGGGCTCTGAGCCCCTTCTCCCCAGACCTCTTCCCATCTCCTTACCATCTGGGGGTACCTGTCCCTTCCGCTTCAGGTAGGCAGTGAGGGTCACCACGCTGCACCAGGGGTTGACAAGCTCCCAGTGGCCAGCTGAGGGGGGCAGAGGTGAACAGTCGGCATCCCCTACTGTCCCTATAATGAAGGTCTTCTGCCCCTCCCTCCAATTTCCCCCCTCACGAGGCTGCAGCTAGAGCACAATCATCCAGGCAAATGTTTGAACTGTTTCTGAGGGCCTTCCATCCAGCTTTCTTGAGTTGTGAATGATCAGGATTCATGATTAGGGCCCATGATTTAAGTCCCCTGAGCTGGCCAGGGCCGGGCCACAACCCCGTTGTGCTGGGCCTTCTGCACCTGCCCTACCTAGCAGCCCCACCCCTAATCTGATCCCAGGAGCAGCCCCGCCTCTTTAAACTGACCCTGGCAACCTCGCCTGGTGCCAGAAGGGTGGGAACTGTGCAACTGCAGTTTCAAGTATCTAATGCCAGCTGAAGCTTGAGGACCACTGACCAGGTGAGAAAGAGGTGGTGCAGTTTTTAAAAGGTCGCAACAAAGTGTGGCCGGCGCTGAACCGGGAGGAGCCCGCCCAGGACTCAGGCCGGGTTTTCACCTCAAGCGATTCGCTCCAGGCTCTCGGTTTTCTTATAAACCCGCTTCCCCAAACCCGCATCCCTCCCACTCTGTACTCCTTCCCACCGCTGCCTCCTCACCTCCCCAGGAAGAGAAAGTCACGTTTCAGAGTGTGTCCGTCCCCCACCAGCCTTTGGGGACGAGGGACCCCACTCACCTCCAAACATCACCTTGATAAACATGGCTGCAGCAGGGTGGGGCAGAGGGGGGGACTTTGATCCTCCACCTCCTGATTCCAGCCAGAAAGGGCCTGGTCCTGCGATCTACCCCAGGGTGGAGTCCTACTGGGGAGCTGTGAACATGTGAAGGTCGGATGGGTGGGTGGTCTCACGCCCGGGTCCCAACTCAGCCACCTCCTCAGCTAGTCCTAGACCCCTGGCCTCTTCCTCCTGCCGCTTAAGGAGTAGCTCCCCCTAGCTCTTAAGCTGGTCTCCATGGCAGTGGAAGCCGCTAAGACGTCTAGGCAGGAAATGCCTTACCCCAGTGTCCCGGTAACAGAAACTGACAGGGCGGGCATTCCCTAGGCGGTGTTGTGATCAGGCGTTGTGATCAGGCTTGTAGTGGGAGCTCCAAGCTGGGGGTCCAGGGATGCTCAGACGCCCCACGAAGAAGAGACAGACCGCCCCCCCAGCCTGGAAGAGGTGGCAGTGTTCGTGTCCTTGCCAACCTCTGCAGACGCTAGCACCATGGGACGCCCCCCTGTGCTGGCTTTCTCTCCCTCTCTGCCTTTCTCCTCTCTCCCAGCCTTCCACTCTTCCATCCCTGTTTCTTTTTCTTGTCAAGTTTATTGAGGTGTAAATTACACACATTAAAATTTGCCCTTTTCAATGATTTGAAGGTTTTTTTGGTTCGTTTTTGTTTTTGAGATACTAGGGAGTGAACCTACTTTTGCACTGAGATACATCTCCAGCCTATTTATTTATTTATATAGAGAAAGGGGTTTGATAAATCACCCAGGTAACACTCAAACTTGTGACTCTTCTGACTCAGATTCCTAGAGCACTGGAATTACAGACATATGTCACTGTGCCCGCATATGTCACTTTGTAGTTAAACCAACATGGAGACGCTTATCAAGTCGTAATCAGCCCTCTCCAAAATAAACAAAGCTGGGAGGTCACAGGAGGAGGAAAATCTCTCACATGTATGTCTGACAATAAGAGCTATGCACAGCCACTCTGCCAGAACCACAGCCTTGCACAGAAATGCTTCTGCAAGGACATCTGCCCTGTGACTGTGTGTTTAGTCTTGGACTGACGCCACTCTTATTGACACTTGTGGCCAAGGATTATTGCTGAAAAATATTTTATGATATCCATTTCACCTTTAAAAACTTCCCTTTGCCTCAACCTTCTTGAATGCACTTGCAGTTTATTATGTGTATGTGTATTCCCATTGCAATGTTATTTTATCCCCAAATAAATTTATCTTTTGAAAATCTCTCTTGAGTTGTTATTTAGGTTAACATAGTCAGCTCTAGTCGCTGGTGTCCACTGCTCTTTTTTCTGTCCCTGCCTTTCCCAGAATGTCATATATGGAACCACACAGTATGGAGCCTGTTGTGTCTGGCTTCTTTCTTGTAGCAGTATACATTTCAAGTTGTGTGTATTAATATTTCCCTTCTTCTCATTGCTGAAGGGTGTCCCATTGTCTGGAGGTACTGCAGTTTGTCAGTCTATTTGCCTGCTGTTGTTTTGGGTTGTTTCCAGGTTTTGGAGATAATGAATAAAACCTGTACTGATATCTACCTGCAGAAAGCAGAAGTTTTAATTTCTTGTCTTGGTTACTTTTCTGTTGGTGCTGAGACAAAATACCCAATGCCCCAAATTAAGGAAGAAAAAACAACAACAAACAAAGGTCACAGTTTGTGGAAGTTTCAGCCCATACGGCTGGCTCCAAGGCAGAGTGGCACAGGGCAGAGGGCAACAATTCATAGCAGTGGAAGACAGCCAAAAGCAACAACAGCAAAACGGAGGAGAGCAGGTGGGGAGAGCAAGCTTCTTTCCCTCCCTTATATTGTATGCAAACTATCTTCCCCAGCGTAGGGTGTAGCACTCACACCCTACATCCCAGCATTGCATCGTGGATCAATCATAATCTAGAAGCCTGCACCCATGACTGCATGAGGCTTTGGAAGAACATCCAGACACAAACCATAACATTTCTCTAGTAATTTTTCTAGGGAGGGACTGGGGATTTAGCTCAGCAGCACAGCACCTGCCTGGCAAGCACAAGGTCGTAAGTTCAATTCCCGGTACCGGAAAAAAAACCAAACAAACAAAAAGAAAATTTTTTTTTTCCTAGGGATTGCCAGGTCATCTAGTGAGTGCATGTTTATAAGAAACTGCCAATGTGTTTTCCAATGTGTCTTTGCCATTTTGCAATGTCTTGCTGTCTCCTAGATCCACATATGTCCCAAGTGCTTTTTTTGTTGTTGTTAGTTTTCACTATCAACTCTTTCTAGTACTGGGGCTTGAACCCAGAGCCACAAGCATGTTAACCAAGTGCTCTACCCTTAAGCTACATTCACAGTTCTTGCCATCAGCTCTTGCCATCATTCTTGTCTCTTGTCTCTTATATTTAGCTATCCCTCTTTGTCCCCTTCTGACTCCTCTCTGTTCTCACACTTAAACTGTCTCTCTGCTTCTTTGTGTGTTCATCCTTCGACTTTTTTCTTTATCTTTTCATCATTCTCTTTCCTCCTTGCCTACTTCCTCTGCTCTGTCTCGCCCTACCTTCCCATGATCCTCTACTAGACTCTTCCAGCCAGAGTGCCGGCTGGATACCCTCATGCTTAGGCTATATGCCTTGCCACCCACAGAACGGCAAGGTAGGAGGAAGTCTGGGTCTTTCCTGCAGCTTACCAGTAACCTTATTCTGGCTGTGGGTGAGTGCTTTCCTTTGGATGACTTCAGTGTTCCCATTGGTAGAAGCGGGTACACACCATGTGGAAACAGCCTTCCCCAACCTTATTTAAGCATGCGGCACTTCTCTGGGGACCCAGACCTACAGAGCACAGCTCAGGAAGTTTTTTTTTTTTTTTTTTTTGGTACCAGGAATCAAATTCAGCACCTTGCGCTTGCCAGGTAGGCTCTTGTGCCACTGAGCTATATCCCTGGCCCGGAAAGTTATAAATGTGAAGACTCCAGTGCTTACATTCAGACTCAGGAAGGAAAGGCCATTCCAGCCCTGGGGTCCCAGTGCTGAGAGTCACCTTTCTGCTGTTGAAGGATCTCAGCCTCCATGCCAAGGAGATCCTTAAGGAAGTCTCAGGGATGGAGAGGGACCCATGGAAGGGCTTTATAACCTCCCCCAAGGCAGTTAATGAAAGCATATTGGTTGGTTGGTTGCTTGTTTTTTCAGTTTAGAAATCATGTATCATTGGCCATTACACAACTTTTACCAGACAAATATAATGTACAGAAATTATACAAGTCACTTTGTCTCAAGCTTTAATATTTAGCAATGTTTTGTTTAGCTGAAATATTTCAGCTGTAAAATTCATCTTTAGTTACAAAAAAATCAGAAACCTTATCAGAATTAGACCCTTTTACAAATGTTCTAAGAGTTCTTAAGCTGCACTAAAATGAGAAAAATACTAATTTTAATCAACTATAGAAATGATCCCTGAAAGTATAGCCTTACTAATTTTAAAATAATCTGGACTGTTTCTGTAGTTTTTGTACACATAGTAAGTGGCCTCATTATAGGAAAACCAACTAAAAGTTGATCACATTAAACACTGTAAAATAATGGCAAAAGCTAATCACCTTTTAACAAAATAGTCTCTATGCAATAATTCCAAGCATCAAACATATGATTTAGTGGTTGATAACTGTCTGCTACAAAACATGAAACAAAATACATTTACTGGATTATTTTTCACTTTTCAACCACTGTATCTATCTAAAAATAAGGATTTCTGATAAAACCTGCACTTCGTTTAACCATTCAGTTTCCCTCTTTATTATTCTTCTTTTTGTCATCTCCCAACTTTACCACACCCCCACAGTAGGACCATATAATTAAACACAGTAAGTACCTGGGGTTTATGCTTTAGACCAAGACATCATTTTGAGTAATTGCAAATGATGTAAAGCTGTTCATGGAAAAAAAAGATATTTGTGATCACAAGTACCTCAAAAAGTAATTATATTCAAATATCATGCCTTAGCAATTACAAAACCATGATTTTGACACATGGCAATTTATAAGTTAAGCAACTGTAAAATACTAAAAGATGTGAACAACTATTAATCCCTCTGTTTAAGTGTTTAGTGTTCTGTTTAAGAGTGCTCCACTTGGGTACTTATTTTTTCAGTTCACATAACCAGCCTACTGTACAGCAGGTTAAATCATAAAGTACAAATTCAAGGAAGGCAATACCTTTACTAAGTTACAAAACTTCTGGCAAAGCGATACAGTACTCTTTAATATAGTAACAAGCTGGGCATGGTGGCATATACCTGTAATCCCAGCACTTAGGAGGCTGAGGCAGGAGGATTTCCATGATTTTGAGGCCAGCCTGGAATACAGAGTGAGTTCAAGCCCAGCCTGAACTACATAGCAAGATCCTATCTCAAAAAAGAAAACAACAATAACAACAACAAAAAAAACCCCAAAAAGCCCCACCAAAATAAACACAGTAACATAATATTTCTGTTGGAGTCCTATATTAGTGACTGACTTTCACTCCAAAAATATCATTTCAGTACCAAATCAAAGCACTGTGGTTTTTAGCAGAGCAAGTTATTTTATACAAATTAATGTGTTTTACAACTATACAATTTCTCCTTTTAAAGTGAGTTCTCTCATGTACCCTGTTCAAGTTTATAGCATCAAGGCAGCTATGTATATGTCAGGGATGGATCTGTCTGCTTTGCTCTGGAGTTGGTCTAAAGTCAGGTAGAGTTCCAATGTCCAAAAAGCTTCAACATTCTACCTTAAGAAGACTCAGGGTCAATACCAATTTCTTCTAAGTATTTTTTTTTTAATCATTATATTATAGGGACCTGAGTCAGGTAGAAATATAGGCAGTCAGACAGGGCTAGGCCCTAAAATGAGCCACTGCAGAAGATGAGAACACATCACAACTGTGGCTAGAGGCACATCTGTTGAAGTTCAGTCCTTAAGATAAAAATGGAATGACCAGGCCTACATGGCTCCCCAAGGGATAAGCAATCAGTTGAGATTATACTATAATTGGTATAACCTGGTCCAGTAAAATATAGATAGATAACAGTCACCCAGGTGGATGGCCAGAGCATCTGGAATCATCCCTTCCCCCAAATGCCTTTGTTCTTTCCATGTACCCTTGCTGTGTGACCCGCTTCCCTATGGAATCAATATTAGCTGAACGTCTATACTTGTAATATTATTGGTTGATTATAATTTGACCCATGTTGTACTCACCTTATAATTTTGTACCCACCTCATGATTTTGCTCTACAAAACATTCTTAGAGAAGTGAGCTCAGTGACAACCTACTTTCAAGTGCCCTTTTCTCTTTCAGGAGCTGTCTTTCAATAAATCTGTCCTACTCTTAAACTCTCTTGTTCCTTACCTCCTGACAGTTCCACTCCTGGGTGTCTCTCTAGCAAAAATAACACAGGTACACCAGGGGCTGGGGATTTAGCTCAGCGGCAAAAGCGCTTGCCTGGCAAGCGCAAGGTCGTGAGTTCGGTTCCCGGTACCGGAGAAAAACCAAAAAAAAAAAACAAAAAACAAAAAACACAGGTACACCAAAAGACACTGATAGGAATGTTCACAGCAGTTTCATTGGTCTTGGCCAGAGGGTACAAGCCCTCAGATATCTAGTAACAAGAGAATGAATAAGCTAACTATGGTTAGTCACAAGATGGATTACACACAACTATGAGAATGATTACATATTGTCTGAACGTGGATCACTCTCATACTGTTGGACAAAAGAAGCAGGCACACACTTTCACAAATTCTACTTATAACAGAAATTCTAGAGCAGGCAACATTAATCTAAAGTGATAGAAGGTAGATTGATGGTTTCCTTGGGCATTATGTTAGTCAGCTTTCCATCACTGTAACAAAAACCTGAGATGAACAACTTATAAGTAGAAAAGGTTTATTTTGGCTCACAGTCTAGAGGTTTCATGGTCACTTGGTCCTTTTGCTTTGGACTGGGGACCAATCCTTTAACATATAGGCCTTTGACGGACGTTCTAGATTCAAGATACAGCAGGGGTAGAGACTGTTCTCTAGAACAGTGAAGGAGAGGTGCTTCTGGACATGGAAATACTCTTTTTCCTTTTTTTCCTCTTTCTTTCTTTCTTTCTTTCTTTCTTTCTTTCTTTCTCTTTCTTTCTTTCTTTTTCTTTCCTTCCTTCCTTCCTTCCTTCCTTCCTTCCTTCCTTCCTACCTTCCTTCATTTCTTTTTCTTTTCCTAGTACTGGGAATGAGCTGAGCTACATCCCCAACCCTTTTTTGATTTTTTAAAAATATATTTTGAGTCAAGGTCTCAATAAGTCATTAAGTTGCCCATGCTGGCTCAAATTTGTAATACTCTTGCCTCAGCCTCCCAGAGTGTATGTGCCACACTGCCTGGCTGGAAATGTTCTAAATCTTGATCCAGATGGAGATTACAGTGCTCTGTGTGTGTGCATGCACATGTATGTTATATAAAACTGACCTATTTGCTTAAGGCTTGTGTACTTTCCCATATTTCACTTGTACCTCAATAAAAAAGTAGATTCTGGGGTCAGAGATATAGCTCAGTGGTAGAGCATTTGCCTGGCATGTTTGAGGCCCTGGGTCGATCCCTGTGCTACGAAAAATAAAGCAGATTTCAACATCCTGCTATAATTGCACGTGAGGACTTCCAAGTTTCTGATCTCCCATAGCCCTGAGTACCAGGACCGTGACATTTGGGAAGATAGGGCCGGGCTGTTGGTCCTAGCCACACCTCTCCTTCTTCAGTCAGTGGGTTAATTTGCATACCTTTTTGTGGCCCAGCAGCCACCCCAGTCCTGTGCCCCTAAGCACCTGGAGCATTGCCCAGCAGAACCTCTCCCTGCCTGTCTCTCTGCCTCTGGTCATGGCCTGTCCCCAGTGCCTGGTCCTTCTGCTGATGGGAGCCTTCCTGGCAGGTGAGCCCTCCCACGGCCCGGCTGACCTAGGGGTGGAGTGGGGGATTGCACTGACCTGAGAAGGCCCCTGGAAAGAAGCAAATCAATGAGGACAAACAAGAGAGTCATGGGAGAGGGACTGAGTTAGAGGGAGACCTGGCTCCATGAGGTTCTGCCCCTGACCTAGGGCAAGTCACCTTCCGTGTGGGCCTTGGTTTCTTCATTTGTTAATGAAAAGATCACTAAGGTCCCTTCAGACTCACCCTGCGGGGTATCTAAGGAGAACAGAGCTTAATGCCTTAATTTTCCACAGGGAAACTTGCCTGAGCTGGTCCCTATCCCACAGGGCCTCAAAGGCAACCTAACCCCCAAAAAGTCCCCTGTGGCCTGAGTCTGACCTGATGGGTTGTACAGTCCAAGAGTCTCCTGGGGGTTGGTAGCCTGCAGTCAGGATTTGTAAGTGTCATGAAACTCAGAGGGAAGGGGTATGCGTAGAGAGGGAGGTGGGCAGCAGGAGAACCCTGAATGTGAGTCCTATGTTCAAGTGAACATGGATTCTGGGGGACCTGGCATTAATGGTGATGTAGGGGTCACTGACTCCAAAGCCCTCACTCACAAAGGAAAATGGAGTCCTAAAGAGGGTAATTTAAGTCAAATGGAACTAGGCTTCCTGTGCCCCTTCTAATGCCAATCCCATGGCACAGGCTATGGAAGTGGGCATCTCCTTGAAGTTTGACCAAGCCTTCCTAGACAGGAGCAGGAGAGAAGGGACCCAGGCCTGGCCTCAGTGGGTCTGTATTTCTCAGTCTCCCAGCAAGCCCTGGCCCAGGCGGTTGCACTGCTGGTCTTCCCAGGCCAAGTGGCTCAACTCTCCTGCACACTCATCCCCCAGCATGCCAGCATTGCAGACTATGGAGTGTCCTGGTACCAGCAGCGGGCAGGTAGTGCCCCCCGCTACCTTCTCTACTACCATTCAGAGGAGGACTTCCACCGGCCTGATGATATTCCCGACCGATTCTCAGCTGCCAAGGACGCGGCCCACAATGCTTGTATCCTGACCATCAGCCCAGTGCAGCCTGAGGATGACGCAGATTACTACTGCTGTGTTGGCTACGGCTCTGGTCCCTAGGGGTGGAGTATGGGATGAATGCCCTGTCTGCCTCCTGTTTCTGCCTCTGAACTTGGATACCCCGCTCTCTCTGGTCCTTGCTTTCCTTCTCTGTACAATGGATTAATAAAATTCAGCATTATTATGAAGGCCATGAGTTCTTGGCCAAAAAAATGACTGTAGTTGGTCTGGGAGTGTGTGTGGGATCGTTGCTGAAGAGGAAGCACCTGAGACCCCTGGGGAGCAGCCCAGCCTTGCCCTTGGCCCCCAGGGGCTCAGCCTGGTAGCCTGGTGGCCTGGCCTTCCGGTGACCTCAGGCACTAGAAGGGGAGAAAAAGGAACCAGCCCTTATTGCCCCCAGTTCTGCATGGCTGACTGTGGTCCAACGCTCACACAGTCTGGGGAGGCTGGCCCTCACAAAGCCAAGGCTGCTGGCTTGTGGAGGGGCAGCCGCTGCCTCCCACCTGCAGTCTCTGCAAAAGGTCCTATGGGTCACTGATGGAGCAGGGAGGCAGGAGTGTGTAGGTGGCATGGAGCATGGAGGGAACTGAGAGGCACTTCAGGGCCCAGGCAGAAGGTGTGGAAGGGAGGTGGCCAGATGCCTGGGTAGCATCCCTCCCCTCCGGAGTGTTCTGTTCTCCTGTGATTAGGTTGATATCTCTTGGGGAAAGATTTCTCACAGGCTGGGTGGCCACACCTGAGCTGCCATGGGCTGAGGGGCAGAGAAATGGATGAAAGGGAAGTCTTGCCATCAGAGGCAGAGCTATGTCTGGAATTGGAGCATGAGTGGATTCCAAAACATCCCCAGGCTGGGGTGGAGGAGTAGCTCAGTGGTGGAGCACTTGTCTACTTGGCAGGAAGTCCTGGGATAGATCCCCAGAGACACAAAAACAAGCACATCCCTCTTCCTTTCTGGTGCCCCTAAGAGGCGCTTCACATGTGGAGGTTAGCACCCAGACGCACGGAAATCAGAGGCTCCAGGGTCCTGCCTACACTCCCGGCCACACGTCCCAATCTGTCTCTGTGGGAGCGGGGAGGGGAGAGAGGACCAGGGTTGTCCTTGAATGAGGGATAACGCAAACAGGACTTCTGGGTCGAGAATGTTGGGGCTCCCTTCCTCTTGTTCTGAAACCCCAGACTCCGGGGTGGTCCCGGTCTCACACTTAGCGCCCCCGCATCCCGCTCCCCCCCACCTACCCCCTCCGGGCAGCAGGTGCCTGTGGTCTAGACCAGCCCGTCTTTCCTGGCCTGTTTTTATTCTGTACTCTAGCCAATAGCGGGCCAGCTCTCTTTTCCCCATGGCCAGTCGCACTCCTCTCATCAAGGACACTTTTCTGATCCGGATCCCCTTGCCCTAGCTTCTGGGTAGTTTAGTAGCACTCCGGCCAGACAAAATAGGACCACCGAGATGCCAAGACCTCCGCGCGGCCTAGAGCGGTCCCGGAAGTGCCCTCAGGCTGGGGGCGGGACTCCAAGCGTTCTGGCGGCAGCGGGTTTAGCTTCAGCTGCAGCAGAAGAGCGAGGCCGAGACGACCGCGGGTTGGAGGGACTCAGGTGCGGCCACGCCCCGCCCGCCCGCGGCCCCGCCCCAGCCCAGGTGCGCCGCCCCGCCCCGGCTCAGGTGAGTGGCACCACGTCCGCCAGTGGGACCTGAGTGCGCCTGAACACCTGTGCCTCCGTTGGCCCCTCGTAGGGATGTCCTCAGCCGGTGGGGAGTCTGTAGGGGCGTCGCGTCGCCATCTGGGCAGCGTGTGCGGATCTATGGCTGCTCGAGTGTCTCTAGCCAGGAGACCCTGACCACAGTGAGGGTTTGCCCAGTGCGCGGGCCCTGGGGCGGGGGACACCTGGAAGATGGGTGCCTGGTGCAAAAAGAGCTAGAGAAGGCCCCGAGAGAGACAGGAAGTATGGGATTCCAGACCTGTGGATATTTTGTCCAAAAACATACAACACATTGGAACAGATTAATTGGTTGCCAACTTTGTGTCCGTAATGGAGACTTAAGCGTGTAGGGGCTACTACATATTGGGAATGGAAAATCTGTAAGGAGAGAATATGGGTACTACCCGGATGTAACAGGTGGGTGGCGGAAGGTTTGCAATCCGTACATACCAAGAAGGAGGGATCAGAGGGTATAGAGATTGAGAAGAAAACTTTCAGAAACCATGGGAATAAAGTAGGTGCAGGGCAGGGGAGCTGTAGGGGGCAAGGCTCAAAACTTACGACATCCAGGTAGGCAGCGTGGATTATTGAAAAAGTGGAGCCGTGTTGTCACTTCTTCCAGTTAAGACAATGCCAGAAACCTGCTTCTTTTTACATATTGGCAACTAAGGAAAAGCCCGACTCTTTGAGAGCCAAACCAAACGTGTCTATGTGGCAATACCCCAGGCTGCCAATTTGCAATTTCTGAAATGTCGGGTGTGGAAAAGGAGGTATTGGTGAGCAATGCCAGATCGAGTGGAAAGATGAGGATCAAGAAGAAAGGATTTTGGCGATAAGGAGGTCATTGGAAGCCAGCACTGCATGCCGAGGTCCTTGCTGAAATTGGAAACTTGAAATCTGTCATGATGCTGTGCATAGCTGTACGATTTTGCTGGCAATGTTTAACATCTTAGGAGGAACTGGCAGGGAAGGTTGGGACTCGGCAGCTGGTTGCCCCAGGACAAGTAGGTGTGAGGTGCTTTTCCTCACTTTGATCATTTATTCAACAAGTTGAAGATACACCCACAGTTGGAACTACTAAGGACAGAGAGGGTGTAAACCACACAAAGAAGGGATGGAACTAGAAGAGGAGAACCTGGGTGAAAATGGAAAAAGCATAGGCTGAGCCGGGTGTGGCGGTGCACACCTGTAATTCTAGAGCTGGGGAGGCTGAGGCAGGAGGATCAATCCGAGTTCAAGGCCAGCCTGGGCTGCATAGGCCTGCGCCACCACACCTGGCTGAGAGGTTGTCTCTTAAGGACTTCTCCTTTATCTAGCACAGAAGTTTCAGAATAGGGCTCTGAGGGCCTTCCTTAGCGACCACTATAGTAGAGTGGGGGGCTGAATGGGGTGTTCTAGCATCTTTCCTTGTCCCTGTTAAAACAGCATCCCTTCCACTGCAACAGTGCTGCTTTGGTCTGTTTCATTTATTTACATATCCTGATTGACAAAAAAGAAAAAAGTGTGATAGTTATAGCATAAAACAAATGGCTTAAAAGAATGGCTTTTTCGCCCTTTAATCATTTATTCAACAACTATGTGCACCGAGATTGTGCTGTTGTGCTGGGGATTGGGAATTCCACAGTTGAAGGAGCGCAGAATTTACTCTTAGGGAGCTGAGAGACTAATGTTAGGGACAGTCTTGTAAATATGCAGGATGGTGAGTGCTCACCAAGATGGCCATGAGTCTGAGAGAGCAAAGGCTAAGGGACATTTGAACTGAGTGTGGGAAGATGAGCAGGCTGCAGTCAGAGGGCAGGGGAAAGATTTTTAGAAGACAAATCAATGGAGATAAATTGTTGAGCTAGAAGATTAGTGTGTGGGGAACAGAGGCAGGAGACAAGACTGGAGGGGTTGGGTATGAAGGATGTGAGCTGTTGCCAAGATCCCTAGAAGGAAGATGACAAGATCAAGCTTGTGTTTGGGTATTTGACTTTTGTCTCAGTGTAGAGCACAGGAGGCAAGCAGCCAGTTAATGAGGACAGAGGGTAGAGACGCCTAATCTGTGGTTTCAGGAAATGGACAGGACAGGCTGGATTGGGCAAGGATGAGAGGGTCTAGGCTGACCCTTGAGTTCTGGCTGGGTACCTGCTGGAGGTGGCGCTGCTGTACTCTTTGTCTTTCCCAAAAATCCCACTGCCAGCCTCATCCAGTCACCAGACGCTTGCCCCCTTTTCCACAATGGCTCCACTTCCTGTTTTAGCCCACCTTTGTGAACACTCTAAGTCTAGACACCCTGATGTGCCACTTGATTTTGTCTGTTTGTCTTCGTTCTGATTGTTTCTAGTAAGTGAAATTTGACTCAGATTCATTTGGGATTATCTCAAGGCCAAGGCTGTCTTACACTATACTCATTTGGTCTTTCCTTTTTTCTCTTTCTTTCTTTCTTTCTTTCTTTCTTTCTTTCTTTCTTTCGTGTGTGTGCGTGCACACGCCCGCCCGCCGTACTGGAAATTAAACCCAGGGGCTTTGCACGAAGCTATATCCTCAGACCTTTTTATTTTTTGTTCTGTTTTGTTTGTTTGTTTCTCTTTTTTTTGTATTGGAAATTGAATTCAGGATCTTGCGCTTGCCAGGCTGGTGCTTATGCCACTGAGGTATATTCCTAGCCTGTTTTGTTTTTTTGAAACAGGGTCTTGCTTTGTAGTTCAGACTGGCCTAGAACTCACTGTGTAGCCTAGGCTGACCTCAAACTTGCAGTGATCCTCCTGCCTCAGCCTCCCGAGTACTGGCATTATAGACATGCGCCACCATGCCCAGTTTAGACCTTCTTATTTTTTGAGACAGGGTCTTGTTAAATAGCTAAGTTGCCCGGGCTGGGGTTGAGCTTGAAGTCCTTCTGTCTTAGCCTTGCAGACTGCTGAGGTTATAGGCATATGCCACCAGGCCCACCTCATTTGTTCTTTTCTGCCATAGATTCTAACATGCAAAGGAGGCACCTGTGAGATCCTTGAGTTACTGACTTGACAACATGCCTTGTTTTCTTTTCAGGTTATGAGAACAGTGAATGGAGCTCAAAGAAGAGTGTTTTTAAAGACATATAGTCATTGGAATTGAGATTCACAATGGAGGTTCCCTCAGCAACCAAGTTTAGTGAGACCTTTGTGTTTGAGGACAGGTTAGAAACACAGCAAGAACTTTTCCCAGGGGAAGACCTGGGAGACCCTTTTCTTCGGGAAAGAGGTTTGGAACAAATGGCTGTTATTTACAAGGAGATCCCTCTTGGGGAGCAAGACTTGGAACATGATGATTACGAGGGGAATTTCAGTCTTTGTTCCAGCCCTGTTCAGCCTCAGAGTATCCTCCCAGGAACCAGACCCCAGGATGAGGACATATTTGGCCAAGCCTTTCTTGAGAAAACCGACATCAGTGTGTGTCAGATCATCCACGGTGAAGAGTGCAGTCCACAAGCTCGTGAAGAAGCAGGCAGCGGGGACTTGGGGCTTAATACACCTCACAGAACCCCACAGCCAGCCAAACCCTATGCATGTCGCGAGTGTGGGAAAGCCTTCAGCCAGAGCTCACACCTCCTGCGACACCTGGTCATCCACACTGGGGAGAAGCCCTACGAGTGCTGCGAGTGTGGCAAGGCCTTCAGCCAGAGCTCGCATCTTCTCCGCCATCAGATCATCCACACTGGTGAGAAGCCGTATGAGTGCCAGGAGTGTGGGAAGGCCTTCCGCCAGAGCTCAGCCCTCTCACAACACCAGAAAATCCACACTGGGAAGAGGCCCTACGAGTGCAGGGAATGCGGGAAGGATTTCAGCCGGAGCTCCAGCCTCCGAAAACATGAGCGAATTCACACCGGAGAGAGACCTTATCAGTGTAAAGAATGTGGGAAATCCTTCAACCAGAGTTCAGGCCTGAGCCAGCATCGGAAAATCCACACCCTAAAGAAACCCCACGAATGTGATCTCTGTGGAAAAGCCTTTTGTCATAGGTCCCACCTCATTCGGCACCAGCGGATTCACACAGGGAAGAAACCTTACAAATGTGAAGAGTGCGGAAAGGCCTTCAGCCAGAGCTCCAACCTCATTGAACATCGGAAGACCCACACTGGTGAAAAACCCTACAAGTGCCATAAGTGTGGGAAAGCTTTCAGCCAGAGCTCCTCGCTTATTGAGCACCAGCGGATCCACACTGGGGAGAAGCCCTACGAGTGCTCTCAGTGCGGCAAGGCCTTCTGCCACAGCTCTGCACTGATTCAGCACCAGCGGATCCACACTGGCAAGAAGCCCTATGCCTGTGAATGCGGCAAGGCCTTCAGACACAGGTCCGCTCTCATTGAGCATTATAAAACGCACACCAGAGAGAAGCCCTATGTGTGCAATGTGTGTGGCAAGTCTTTCCGAGGAAGCTCACACCTGATCCGGCATCAGAAGGTCCATGCTGGGGAGAAGTTCTAGAAGGGGAAGCCCCACCACTGCTTGGAAGCCTTTATTAGATGGAGTCCATATCCATGTCACTTTGGCTCTAAGACCCCACCTACTTCCCCGATAACCTTGCCAGGTGGACACCCTCCAACAGGGCCCTCCTGAGCATCCCTGCTATCATGAAGCCCCGTGTGGCATCATGGTCTCAACACATTTCCTGGGTAGAAGGAAAGGGGCACACGGGGAGGTGAGCCCACAAAAAAGAGCTGGCTTTCAGCTCTTATTCTCACATTTGACTCCCAAGCCTACAGATGAGATTTTGTTTTTCCCTGTCTCTGCTTTTCTCAGTGTCTGGAAGAAGACTATGTCAAGAGGCAGAAAGTAGAGATAAACCCAGGAAATTTAGATGTACTCTTTAAGTCAGGCAGCAGAATGGCCCTCTCAGAAGAGAGCACATTACAGTCCAAGTCAGCTGAAGGAAATGAATTCAAAAGTAGAGGTGAAAGAGGCAAAATGGAAATCTCTACCTGGGTTAGGCATTGATGGTGACAACCAAAACATGTTACCAAGGCAGAGGAGGGTCCAGAAGGACTGATTTGGGGGTTAAGGAAGGTGGTGACCCCCTGGGCATGGTCTCATAACCCTCTGCTTAGCCTGAGAGTGGAGTCTGTCAGTGGAACTATCACAAGGGAGCAGAGGTTTGACCTTTTTGTGGTCAGGATGTTTGACACCCATGACTCAGCTGGGTGTTAGCTACTGTGCCCTTCAGGAACAACCCCTCCCTGAGACCTAGTGCTCCAAGAGCACAGTGTGCCTTGGATGCCAGCAGGGCCCACTTCTGGTCTGGCAGTTACACTGATTCCTCTCTTTGCTCCTTGATGTTGGAAGCAGGTGATTTGGGAGGTGCAGGCCAAGGTCAAATCATAAGGTCTAGTTTCAATCATGATTTGACTAGTCTGCAAATAGTGTGTTTCCTGGATTACACATAGAATGGTTTCATGAGGTATTCTGATAAATGTGATTTTTAAAATTTCAGTGTTCCTTTTAGAATAATTGCATCTGGTTACCCATAAAGCAGAGCTAAAACTGAATTTCTTTCATGGTCTCCCTACTTTATCCATGTCAATCAGATTAAAGTGTGTAATCCTAAAAAAAAAAGTCTGGGTTCAAAGTCCAGTATTGCCCACCCCTATTTGTGTGACCTAGGCCCCACAACTTCCCAGGGCTGTTTCCCCATATGAGTGATGAGATCTGACTGAGCACTTCTAAGGGTAGGTTCAAGGCTTCTGTTCAGAATGGGACCACACTTGAAAGTGCTTTGCAGCTCAGCAGTCATGGGTGGCGGTTGAGAATGGAGACCCTGAATGACCCCTGTCCTACCCTGAGGCATGTTACCTGCAGACCAGAGAAGTTTCCAACATACCATGGTGTCCTCCTAGACACTCTCCCAGTCCTCCTGCTGCAGTGGTGTCATCCATGCTCCTGTGATCTTTCTACCTTCCTCCTAAGTGTAGCTCACCTGGGGGTTGTGTTTAAGAACTGCCATTGACCGTGTCCCACCTTGACCAATTGAATCACTGGTGTTGGATCCCTGACATGTTTCTGAATCTCCCTAGGTGGTTATAAGTTACAGCATGTGGCCAGACAGTGAGCCCTGTGCTGGGCTTTCATGCAGCCCTGACAGTTTCCTATGTCAGCCTGTTTACTCTGACAGAGCAGAGCTTGAAGACTGTTCTCTCAGTCTCCTGACTCCACACCCTGGGCCCCGGGATTGGGCTCAGGCAGTGACAGGTGCCTTGCCAGTTGAAAAGCATCTGTCCCAGGCTAGAGGATCTCTCTTTTTGCAGTGCTGGAAATTGAACCCAGGGCCTTACACGTGCTAGGCAAGTGCTCTACCACGGAGCTACATCCCCTTCCTGTGATGAATCCCCTTAGTGCTGCCCAAACTCCTCAGTGCTAGCGGAGAAAGAGATAGTCAGGGCTGTTTTAAAGTTTTCCAAGAGTTTATGTCTGGAGTCACAAATGCATCATGGTGAGATGGCCATTTCAGCTGGTTCTGTGCTATCATGTCCAGCATTGATTAAAGCATCACTTTGCACATGTCAATATTCTCCTTAAAGCCAACTTTCAGAAGCCTTTCTGCATGTAGATTATTGTTTCAGCCAATCTGGCTTACTCCCTGTGAAGAACCCTGATATGATGGACGTGAACATGGTGCAGTATATAGTTTTGATGAATAAATATGAAGAAGCCATATTTGCTTTTAAGTGAGACCTGGTAGGCCAGAGATTTTGGTTTTTTTGTTTGTTTTTATTTTGTTTAAGACAGGGTCTTGCTATGTAGTTCAGACTGGCCTTGAACTAGTGGCAGTCCTCCTGCCTCAGTCTCCCAAGTGCTGAGAGTACACATGTGTGCCACCACACCTGGCTTAGGCCAGAGATTTTGAATCATGAGTATAATGGGCTGGAGAGATCCCAGTGGGAGTCTCGGCTACTCCCAGCAGCCTACTGTCCCTGGCAACCCACTGTATGACCAGCTGGATTATGGAATCCCAGGACCTGATGGGTGGCCCTGGGCACTGTTGTAGGCTGCTGATACACAGGGTCTTTAGTCGCTTATCAGGAGTGAAGAGAAAATGCCACAACTCAATTGGGATAGCAGGCGCCAGTAGGTAGGGCCCCTGAAAGATTTACCTCTTCACCACCTCGGCCCCCATTCCGTCTCAGTCTTGGGTAGGCCTGTCCTTATCTAGCAAGCATCTGTCACCTACCTTGGATCTTTCCCTCCTTGCCCTTTTTGCACACCCCAGCCAAAGTGACTTTTTTTTGGTTCTGAAGCTAGAACCCAGAGGCTCTATACCACGCTGAGCAACCTTTTTTAGGTTGAGCTCCCCAACCCTTTTTATTTTAATATACTCACATAAATTGCCCAGGCTGACCTCAAACTTGTGATTCTCCTGCCTTGGCCTCCTGAGTTGCTAGGATTGTAGGGATGTGCCACTGTACCCAACTCGTTTTTGTTTTTGTTTTTGTTTTGTTTTGTTTGAGACAGGGTCTCACTATGCATTTCAGGCTGGCCTTGCTCTCACTTTGTAGCCCAGGCTGGCCTTGAATTCACAACAATCCTCCTGCCTCAGCCTCCAGAGTGCTGGGATTACAGGTGTGCGCCACCACGTCCAGCCTCAAGTTGATTTTTTAATTTTTATTCTTTGACAGTACTGGCAGTTGAACCTAGGGCCTTCTCACAAGCTACATCCTCAGCTCCTTTTTTATTTTTTATTTTATTTTGAAACAGGGTCTGGCTAAGTCACTAAATGCCTAGGCTGGGCTTGAACTTGGATCCTTGACTCTGGTTCCCAGAGTGCTGGGATTCCATTTCTGTGCTGTTGCATCCAATGTTGATTTTTAAAGCATTACTTTGCACATGTCAGTATTCTTAAAGCCAACATTCAGAAGCCTTTCTACATGTAGATTCTTGTTTCGGCCCATCTGGCTTACTCCCTCTGAAGAGCCAGGCATGGATATGAACATGGAGTCCAGGACAGCCCCTGCGAGAAGCCGTGTCTCTTTGTGTTTGGCTTCTTATGAGTCACTTGATGCTGTTTTCACGTTTTGCAATGTGCACTTTCTTCTTCCTTCTCCTCCTCTTCTTTATCTTTTCCTCTTCCCTCCCTCTTCTTCTTTTTATATAAGGTGGAGTAAAGACTACTCCTTCCCCCAAGGGTCAACAGATTCTTATGTAGTTAAGAGCAGTCCTTTTTGGGGAAGGATGAGCAGAGCCTTGTTTCTCTTGTTCAAACTCTTTCACTCTTCACTCTATGTATTTTTTTTCCTTTTGGTACCAGGAATTGAACTCAGGACCTTCCACTTGCCAGGCAGGCACTTGTGCTGCTGAGCTGTATCCCTGCACGCTTACTATGTATTTTTAAAAGAAATCTCATTTTATTTAGATTCTCAGTGTAAAATTATAAAAGATGGTCTCTAGTAATATTTTAATCATCATTTTGTTTTGTGTGTTTTGTTTTTTTTTTTTGTTTTTTTCCGGTACTAGGAATCGAACTCACAACCTTGCGCTTGCCAGGCAGGCGCTGTGCTGCTGAGCTAAATGTCCAGCCCCTGTGTGTTTTGTTTTGTTTGCAGCTCTGAGGTTGGAATCCAGGGCCCTAAGCATACCAGGCAAGCACTCTACTCCTGACCTACACTCTAGTTCTTTGTCATCTTTTGAGTTGTTTGCTTTTGTTTTTACTGTTTTACATTTTTTCCTTTGTCCAGCCGTGCTTTATTTAGATGTTTTGGAGTGTTACAAAATGCCAACTCTTGATTTTTGTTTACCAGTCCGATTGTTTTGTCAAAATGTATCTGTCCCCCCCTTTTGGCTTAATACTTTTTAAGATTAATTATTTAACAATGGTTAAACATATTTTTAGTATTGCTAGTGAATGTAGATGTTTTGGTTTATGTTTTTTTCTTAGTTACAAGTTTGTCTGGTCTTAATAATTTTTACATGTTTTTTGTTTGTTTTTATAGTCCTGGGAATTTCCTTTTGGCCCAAGTGTTGTTTTTTAGTATTTCCAAGGGTGGAGCGCTTAAGTCTTTGCTGCTTACTTCTTGTACTATGGTATCAACATTTCCAGGTATCTACAGAATTTCTTTGGGCCAGGATACATTATCAACTTTGATAAAACATTTGTGTATTCTCAAAAGCTTTTATTCCATCAGTTTTATTTGCTGACTCAATTTTTAAAATTACTTAGCCATACTCTAACTTCCCTTTATTTTAAAGTTCTTATCCTGGGATCTAAAGACTGCCTTGGACTAAGCATATGGGGACTTTCGGGCTTGTGGATGCATAGGTGTGGAACAAGATGTGTGGATTTGTGCATGAATGAATCGGGGGTTGGGGGGTGGCCTGTAAAATTCATATTTTTGTAAGGGCTCTGTGACCCCAGAATAGTTAACACTTACTTACCTATCTAATTATAGTCTGAGTTTGTATGTGTGTCCTTTTGTTTGTTTCCATTTCACTTTTATATTTATTATTATTATTATTATTATTGTTGTTGTTGTTATTATTACTTTGTGGTCAGAAGGTCTCACTATGTTGCCCAGGTTGCCCTTGAACTCCTGGGCTCAAGTGACCCTCTTGCCTCAGCCTCCTAAGTAGCTGGGACTGTCGGTGTGGGCCACTAGGTCTGGCTTCTGTTTCACTTTTAATTTCTGTTTCTCTTTCATGTATGCTGCTGTGTTGATATAGTTTCTGCACGTCCTCTTTGCAAAACAGGCAGGGTGTAAGTAAATATGAAACTGCGGGGCGTTTATATTAATAGTGATATATTAAAAGACTGTGCCTTTTTAGTACCCCCTTTTGCTTCTTAATGCTTCTAGCTTAAGCTTCTCTTTTCCAAATATAATTGAAACTCCTTGCTTTTCTTGAGTTTAGCTCAGCATCTTATTTTTGAAATTGTGTGTATATTTTGCTATTTATCTGTAACTTATAAGTAGCAAATTGTTAGACTTCATTTTCTGGTTCTTTGTATAACTTTTTCTTGTTATATAAAATTATATTATTAATGTTACTGTTGAGCAGGGCATTTATTTTAACTTTAATATTTTGGTATGTATTAACTCATTTAACCCAGAAAGGCCATGCTATTTTTCACCCATCTCTATGAGTTATTAACCACATATGGGGTGTCATTTCTAGGTAGACTGGATCTCTGCTGTTGGGCTCACTGGTTACTCTCTGTCTCTGCCTCTCACCACTTTTGGGGTCAGTGCCAGGCTGTGCCCCCAACTCTTCAAATCATAGCTTGTGGCTTTAGTGTCCTTAGTTGTAACATGGAGGAATGAGGCATTTCAAAGCTTTGTGGGGTTTTGTGGGGGCTCAAAGCTTTGTGGGGCTCAGAATACCAATATGTTTAGCAAATTATGAGGTGCAGTTGTTTATCACACTACTGGCATTTTGAAGTTCTTTTGTGTGTGTGTGATGCTAGGGATCAAACCCAGGACTGGGGCTGGGGATTTAGCTCAG